GCAATAGATGCCGTGTGTAAATTGAAAAGATAATACATTTGCAACATAGGTAGTCCAAATGTTTGGAAATGCATGTGTGTATAATAGGAAGATGAATCTACGAGGATATCCATCCAGGACCTATGATCCAGGACCACAGCCACGACTCAAGATCCAGGACAGAGGAGCGCAGGATCATCCATGACTCCGGATCCCGGCGTATACAGACACCAAAAAGAAAGACATTTGGGGAAGCTGGGTTAATCGGAACATGAGAGTACACAGGTATAGACAGAGAGAAGGAAGAAGTAAGATGTCCCCCGACAAACTAAGCCTATATCAGCAAAACTAGGGGCTGAATCTAATCAGCCCTAACTATAAGCTTTATCAAAAAGGAAGGTCTTAAGCGCACTCTTAAAAACGGATAGGGTGTCTGCCGCCCGAACACAAACTGGAAGCTGATTCCACAAATGTGGAGCTTGATAAGAAAAGGCTCTGGCTCCCATTGTACTTTTAGAGACTCTAGGAACAACCAACAACCCTGCATTCTTGGAACGCAATGCCCTAGTAGGACAGTAGGGTATAATGAGTTCTTTAAGGTAAGATGGCGCCTGCCCAATAAGGGCTTTGTAGGCGAGAAGAATGCTCTTTATCATTTTTCTGAGTTGGAAAGTTAGATTGCATCATAGTTTACTTTATACATATTTGTATTCTTCAGTGGTGAAGTATATTGCAAAGCAGCTCAGCCATGTGAGAAGACTTTTGGCACTTTTTCGTTTTTCGTTTTCTGAGTTGGAAAGTTAGATTGCATTCAAAATGTACAGAAATACTTAATTTTGTTAAAGCTTTTTATAAAAAATGCTTCTGACCAGAGCTTTGTTTCCTTGTCATTAATGTTGAACACCACCAGAGGGGCTCTCACCTGAAAGGTCTCTGCTTCATGTGTCTTCAGCAGAAGATCTAGACTTTGATTGCTATATTTTCAGTTAATATTGACCTTACTGAGCTTTAGCCATATCCGCTGCCTATCATAAAAAATGTTAAGTACAGTGAACCTTTCTAAAATATACAGTAGTAAAGAGACAAACCCACCAGCATTGTAGTAGCCAAATTCTTGTTTGTGGGCTGTATATATAAAATTGACTTGAAAAAGTTGCTGATTTTAGAGTACTGGCACCTTTTTCATTCCAATTCAAGCACTGGCTATGATACAGGAGACAACAAGACGTTGAAAAAAAAAGAGTTCATGATTATAATTCTAAGTATATCATGAAAATGAAAATTGAGCAATCTAAGGTTGAAAATTGAGCAATCTAAGGTTATTTCAATGTACCATGGACATAATGTTATGAATGAGCGAGCTGCCTGTGGCAAGATGGCCGCCATGTGGCAACGTCGGTCTCCATTGGCCAGCAGCGCGGGTGAGTCATCTAGGACAGTGTTTCTCAAACTTTTTCATACCATGGACCACTTAACCAATAAAAAAACACTCGCGGACCACCTAACTCCACAAATATCCCAAAACACATCGTTTTTCTAGAACAGATTATAAATCGCCTGGAAATGGTACAAACAAGTGGCAACATGTGTGACGAAGGTGTTGCCCTGGGCTTTATCATGCAATATAGAGTGAAACTTAAGCTCGTTCCATTGCGGAGATATTCCCGCGAGAGTGCGGAAAACTTAAATTTATTTATTTATTTAAAATGTGAAATGTTACCAATATACTCACGGACCACTAGGGGGCACTCACGGACCACACTTTGAGAAGCACTGATAGGACAATCCCAAACCGCCCCCTACCTACACCCTACCCCTACACACTACCCCTCCGTTTGCGCCGGTTATAAACCGGATATATTCCCCGCCCTCACTATCAAATGATTACACAGTGATATCTGCATTACTCATCCACTAAAAAACCTCAGTTTATCCTTGTTCATTACACAATATTGATTGGTTTAAATTGTGTACAATGCTTTTGTGTTTTTTAGCCTTCGATTCAGAGAAAAAATAGTTTTATTCGGGGGGTTTCGACACTACAGTTTCCGAAGACACACTACCCAGAATCCCCAGCTATCGTTTGGGACTACAACATCTGCCTTGAAATATGTTTTTGTGGATCCAGGCTAGAAACATGTTCATTTTCTGATGTTAAGTTGGACATTTTAACATAGGGTCTACGGGAATTGCTCCCATCTGCATCCATCGCCTACAGTACAGCATTGGGCTTCACCGCACTGTCCCGGGGTTTGCCGCTTGGCTCTGATAGGCCAGAAGTCGGTTTGATTGCATTCGGACTCGATTGCTTATCCTGTCTGAGTAGCCCGGATGATGCTGCATCGCAATTTTTGACGTCGAATTTTATACACCGAATTTTTTTACATCGAATTTTAAACACCGAAATATTTGACGTTGAATATTTGTCACTTGAATTTTTGGGATCTGAATTTGAACATTCAAATTTTTTTAACTACAATTTTTACATTTTTATTTCACATAGGTAAATTCGGAACAAAAAAAATTCAGATACATGATTTTCAAAGTAATTATTTTCAATGCTATAAATTCGGTGTCTGATAAAATTCAAATACTTCTGTCTCTTGTTTGCTTCCATAAGTATGTAGTGGCTCAGAACCTGCGTAGAACATGTGTTGGTAAATATGTTACTTTGTTACATTTGTTATCACCAAAAATGTGGTTCCGTGAAAGTAAAGCAAGTTCATAATTAGATAGACATCGTGAGGTATTTATTTTCGGTACAGTTTATGTTGAAACCGTTAGAGAGAGTGGCACACTTTTTAGCCTGTTCCATTCTTCTTCGTTTTCCGAAGCCGTGGCTTGGAAGCATACTTGCTTCGTTTCTGAAGGAAGTGACTTGGAAGTACGCGACTACCAAGCCAGCATCCTCGCGATTGAGTGACTGTCACTACCCGATCTGCAGTTCTGCCCGATCTGCAGTGCGCATGTGCGAGATGGTCCGCCATATTGGACAACTCCGGACGGCAACCCAAGTAGGACAACATTGACACAGTGGCTTTTGGCTAAACTCAAAAGGAAAACTCGAGAGAGATTAGTTATTGTTATTACAACGTGACTTCACTATTATTTAACAACTCTTTTTATTGGGTTCTTTTATTTGGGGTTAAGTACATTGTCAGAATAAGTGAGAAATTAATTTAACTTCTGTTAGACAGCTATCATACTGAACACATATTTACTGTGAATGTGTGCAAAAATGTATGGCATATAGCTGTCGAAGTTAAATCCATTTCTCACTTATTCTGACAATGTACTTAACCCCAAATAAAAGAACCCAATAAAAAGAGTTGTTAAATAATAGTGAAGTCACGTTGTAATAACAATAACTCATCTCTCTCGAGTTTTCCTTTTGAGTTTTGCCAAAAGCCACTGTGTCAATGTTGTCCTACTTGGGTTGCCGTCCGGAGTTGTCCAATATGGCGGACCATCTCGCACATGCGCACTGCAGATCGGGCAGAGCTGCAGATCGGGTAGTGACTATAGAGGCTTCTCAATACTCAAATTTCCCCTCCTCGACTCCTCGGTCCTCGGTCCTCCGGTAGTGACCCGAAAATGAATTTCAGCGCGCCATTTTGAAGGACATCTCATTTCTCTAAATGCACACCGATGCACCCCCCATCTATGTATATACTCGCATTTTAGACTCTGTTACTAACTGTATATCTGTAGACTTGGTATGTCTTAAATGTCCGGTTAGGATGTATTAGAACGAAATCTAAAATGAAAATTGTAAATAAGCAATCTGTATGTAAAAAAACACCTGTATGTAAATTGTAAATAAGCCATCTGTATGTCTTATATGTCTTAAATGACATGATGAATTGGAAATGGGGGACCCTGATGTAAACAAGACGAAAGTCTTTCTCTGGTCTGCATCCCCTTAACAATTGTATGTTTTGAGCTGTACTGTACTGTACCCAATATACAAGCTGTTAATAAACTTTTTAATCAATCAATCAAAACCGAGGATCGAGCGTCGAGGAGGCTCTCTGGAGGAGCTCTAACCGAGGATACACTGATGGTTCCTTCACGGCTCCTCCACGGATGCATTTCCGGGAACGGTGGAGGCGTGACGCACGGCCGTACTTATCTCAGCCAATGACAGCTATGCATGCATCCCCTGGATATTATTTTAGAAACTGCTTTCATCGCGTCGCGATGTTTCCAGAGAGAACAGCTGTAAGGTCCATGCAGAAAGCAGAGCAGTGTGTATAATATATATCACTCAGTATAACAGGCCTACTCTCTTTATTTGCTTTAGTTTAGTAGATATCTACAAACAAAGAGTCGATATTTTTCTAAGACCATTTAGTGCTTCACATAATAAAATACACAACGGCTTATGCTTTAGGAGCTGTAGGTGTGTGTGGTACAGTCTGTAGGTGTGTGTTGTACAGTGCGTAAATGCGGCGGACAGGGTCTCAGTTGGTTTGGTGTCCTCTGCTTACTTTTAATAGGCCTACTTGTAAATACAACTTTTGGCCGTAATTTCAATTCCCCATTTCAGCGACCAGAGAGAGGGGGGGATATATCCAGTCTCTGATTGTGTTACGTTATTATGAGAGTGCTCTCGTACTTTAAATTGTATATATTTATATAAATATATTTGTGTGTGTGTGTCCGCATCTGTAGCCTGTTATTGTCTCATTATACCGCACTCTCAATGAATTCAAAGTAAATATGTGGGGGAACAATGTTCAGCTGATCTAACAGAGATACAGCGCTATGACAAAACACTCGACAGCTGATGCAGCTGTTGCCACGTAATAATGAACGGACGTCTCTTTAAAATGACCGCTCAGAGGAGAGGAGTTCTCATTTCTTTAAACGTCTGCTGCTTCCCCTCCTCGGTCCTCCGCTCGCATCTCCTGTGGGCGGGTCTAGGTCTCGAGGAGGGGAGTCGAGGAGGGGAAATTTGAGTATTGAGAAGCCTCTAGTGACATCTGTCAGTGACAGATATTTAAGGTTGCGCTGCGCACTCCGGGACTTTAGGTGGCGGTATTTCGGTATTATATACAAGATTAACCAACTAGTAGTTAGATTTGTTCACAACTGGCAGTGCAACACTTCGGTTTGACCATCGTATATTAAATGTTGCTTTTTTATCGCAGTGTTTAAGTATTGCCTGTGAAGCATTGCAGGCAGGACGAGAATGTATGTATTCTTTATGTATTACTGAGGCTTATTGGGAACTATCCAAACAAAAGGCTGATCTTGTCTTTTTAAGGTGAGTGGTCACTTGTATACTAGTAACTATACGATTTGCTTTAACCTGAGGTTATGTTTATCAACGTGATAACGTATCAAACACGGGTTCAAATTACAGTTTGCAGACATGTGTGGCAACCATTGCAATAAATGTCTTGTGCCTTTTAGATATCTTCCTGTAAACGCTTAGCAACCTTATGAAGGTGAGCTATAACTTGACAAATCGACTGAAAACCGTGCAAAATGTATACTGTTTATCTATGGGCTGCACTATGAATGTGTTGTGTCACTTTATATCACATACGCTGCACATACGTCAGCAAGAAAACCATTTTCAGCTTTCATCGCAGGGGAATGTTGGGGGTGAGTTTATTTACTAATTTAGCAATTTACCAACTAGCTAGCCACACAAACAAGGTGGATTGTGGTTGAGCTTGTTTGCTTTCAACAGTGGACTCTACACGAATTTCTGACTACACAACAACGTTACTGAGGAAGCTTTTAGCCACATTAGCTTATTTGCATGTCGGATCCCGTTTCTGTGGCGACAGTCTTTGATGTATTTTCGCGAATTTAGCTAACGTTAGTGCTGTTACATGCTGTGCCAAGACTTCGGAGCGTGGTTCGAGAAATCAATTTTTGTTTTTGGTGAAGCAAGTATCGAGGCTTGTATCGTTTAGGCCAGTGACGCCGTCGATGACAAACGAAGCCTCGCTGCCCGTTTATACCACGTGACTGCTTCAGGTAGTGCTTCAGATCGGTTGAAACCAGGTTGAAACCGAAACACTGACACTAAACAGTTTGATAACTCTTATTGCCCCTCCTGTACCCGGCCCGGTGCCACAGTCGGATTAAGAGGACTCAGACCCCCTCTGAAGATTGTTTGTTTGTATCACTTGTTAGTTTCTTTCACTTGTTGTTGATTGTACTGTATCGTGCTGTGGGTGTGTGTATAGTTAGGGAGCCGAAGCGGGGCGGATTAGATAGACCCAACACATCACTTAGTTTGGTTTCCTAACCTGCTTACTTCTCCTAGTTTTAAATAAAACTTTTGCACTAGATTACACATTCCGATTCAAACAATTTACAAACGGTAAGTATTTCAGGTTCCAGAGAGGAGATGGCTGTGGTTTAGCTGGTTGATAGATGACTCATCAGGATGGTGACCGGTTCGCCACCGGTCAATCCTCTATATTACTTTTTTATTCTAAAAATCGTCAACGAAATATAATAATGTAGTTAATAAATGTCAACTTGTTGTTTAGTAGTTCTTAGGCTATAACATTAAGTTTACGAATATTATTAAGGAATAAGAATCCATCTTTGCAATGTTTACAAGCCTCCATAGGCTTTTAAATCCCAATAATTCAACTGGAAACTATATAAAATATTGATACAAATTGATTACAGGAAAATATGATTTCAACTCAGTGTTTGAGTTATTGTTAACCCTCTGGAGTCTAAGGGTATTTTCTCGATTTTTAGACGTTTTCTTAAATCACCTTTTTTAATGTATTTCTTCTAACATGGCACCCATGTGTTACATATCAAAAATGTTCAGGACAATCTCTAGTATTGCTATATATGCAAATCACTCACCTTAGAGCACTGTTTGATGAGATAAGTAGCTCAAAAGCTTAAAATTTGACATCCGATTTTCGGAACATCTTCAAAACTCTTGTGAAAACACAAATTTACTCATGTGATCGAATTGTTTTGGTGTTTTAGATTTGGTTACCAAAGTCTTAGGATTACAAAAGTAGTGAAATATTTGAATTACACTGTATATAAATGTGTTATTCATGTCTAAAATGAAATTTTATAAATTCGAATTCTGAGTAAAACAGCTGTCAATCACTCTACTTTCACCACAGCAGGGACTGAGATATATCAGGACTGAATAATGACTTCATAATACATAACAAGGTTCATGTGATGTGTAAAAAAAAAAAAGAATTGAGCATTAGAACTTTTTTTTCAACCCACAATTTATTATAATACCAACAATGTATATAAATATAACTGCAAAATCTCACTATTTACAATATTGAACATCAGAACTTTTTTTTCCTTCAACCAACTATTCATTATACACTAGGGCTGTGCAATTAATCGTATTTTAATCGCGATTACGGCTTGCGACGATTATGAAAACAGCATAATTGACAAAATACACTTATTTTGCGGGGTGCGCTTTCGCCCCTCCCTAAAAGCCCACTCGGCCACTTGGGAGTGACATGTGTTGTGAGTGTTCAGCGCGAGCGAAGATGTCAGAACAAGAGCAGCAACTCGTTAAAAAGAAGGGTAAAACTATTTCCACTATTTGCAAGTACTTTGCCATTACATTTCACATCGCTAAAGATATGTGCCCAGTTAGCACTGTTAGCAACCAGGGCTTTAAGCAACTTGTCAACACGTTGGACAAGCGTTACGCAATGCCGTCTCGGTATTATTTCAGCAGGTCTGCGCTGCCTGCACTATATGACAAATGCCGTGGGGAAGTTGAGAGAGATGTGGCTTCAGCTGACTACTTTGCTACCACAACAGACCTATGGTCTAGCCCAGGGGTGCCCAACCAGTCGATCGCGAGATGTGTCTAAAAATAGAACAACAATATTCTGTTTTATCGTTAATGTCCTGTAACATAATCTTCCTGTGCCAAAATAATGCACTGAACCCTTTCTTTGCCATTATATTAAAATAGTGTTGCTACAAAAGTATAAATTAGGCTTACTAAAAAGACAACTCAGATCTGAAGCTACACAGGAATCTGCTGCCAAAGTGCAATAAAAAAAGATTATCTAAAAAATGTATAGAATCAAACCCTTTTTTTGTTGCATTTTAGTAGAGTATAAAAATAAATGCCTTTTTTTAAAATAGGATGCAAGCAACACTAGTTTCTTAACCTGAATTGATAATAGACTATAATCAATTTAAGTTTGCATTCTTATACCATTTTGTACAATAATTATAATGAATAAGTTCAAACTTACAGCTGATTAATAACGGTATCTAACTTTAGTTTTTATTATATCAAAAACCTGTTGAAATGCTTCTGTTATTTTTTACTGTCCCCAAAAAGCGCATCGGCAGCCTCCAGGAATGCTTCTTTCACAACTTCGCCCCGACATGTGTTTCGCAAGAACGTAACTACACGATAAGATGCTCTGGTAGCAGCCTTGCTCTTGTTGTTGGGCCTGGTGAAAATGGACTGCTGTGCATTTAGCTGTCCTTTCAGGCCCCTCCCCTTTTGGAGCGTAGGGCAGAATTAGGAGGGAATTCCGTCTCGTAGCGTTTGTGCTCCTAAATTACTCTTCTTCGATAAAGCCACGCTCGCATTGCAGATGAGACAGATGGACTTTGAATTGGAATAGATACAAAAATAATCATCCTCCCACTCGGAGTGAAAATTATATATTTTGGGCTCTTTTGCTTCTGCCATAATTGCGGTCTTGTGTGTGTGCGGACTGTCACTCCTGTTGACACGGACAATGTCAGCGAAATAGTGCCCACTGCCCACCAGCCACGCCCCGACACATGGGGTCACGCCGGCCAATCACAAAGCTTTGATGCGTTCAAGTGCATTATTCTGGCACAGGAAGATCATGTCATAGGACATTAACGATAAAACCGAATATTGTTGTTCTATTTTTAGACACATCTCGCGATCGACTGGGAATCTCCCCGCGATCGACCGGTTGGGCACCCCTGCTATATGAAAAGGCCACCAAAAACTGGCCTGGCCGCTTGAGGACGATTAAGGACGCTTAAACGGGGCTACCCGCTGCAGTGGAAATGCGCCATTAATGTGCACTCCAGAGGGTTAAGGCTTTACCCATTGCAATCTCAGTATAAGAAATATCCCGCTGTCCGGCAGTGGTTCAGTCATGCTCCCTTCACACCAACACGGTTCCAGGGCCGGTTCGGAGCTTGAGCTATTGTCATACTGATATTTTGTACAAACTGTAAAGTCCACTGAGACAAATGTAACATTTGTGATATTGGGCTATATAAATAAACATTGATTGATTGATTGATTGAGCCCGATAAGCACCGTTTTTCCTGTTCACACCAAAAACCGGTGCTTACCAAGCACCAACAAATTGTTGATCGAGAAGCAAGAACCGCATACGTCACGCTTACATCGGAGGGGGCGAGATTAACCTGAGCTAACAGTTTATGGCGAGTACGGCAAATACAAGTTGTAACAAGCAGTAGAACTGAGAAAAGTGACTAGAACGCAACCACACACTTACAAAAAAAACACACTTTATAAAGTCATGCAAGACTAACCAGGCTTCGTGTGATTCTGTTTATTTGTACCTTACTTTGACCATCCGTTCGCTGTCAGTAGGGGCTTGGACTGGGAGCCATAGGGTCGCCGGTTCAAGTCCCCGACCAGACCTAAATATGGAGTGTGGACTGCTGCTTGAGCAAGGCACCAGACATTCCCCTTCCCCCCCACTCCCATTGCCCCCCGGGCGCTGTACAATAGCTGCCCACTGCTCCTAGTACTAGGATGAGTTAAATGCAGAGGTGTGCTGAGTGCTCTCCATGTGTGACTATTAAGGAGGGTTCCATCCCTCCGATTCTATCTTCTATTTTCTATATCTGCCTGTTTTACAATCTTTGACCAGTCTTAATTTGTGTGCAAATTAAGCCTCGAGTAATGAACCCGTTTGCGAACCAATTGGCTGGAAAGCTTCATGAAGCTTCATCTCACCATCACTAGTTAACATAGGCAAATGCATGATATGATTGCATTGTCCTAACACTAACATGGCCTTAGTGTTAAGCGGAAGTACATCCTCCACATTAGGTTGGTTTAACAACACATTTCTCACTCTTCCCCCTTTCTCTCTCTCTCTCAGCTGTCAGCCCCATGACATCGGCCCGCTAAATGTCATACTTTGACACTTCACATCTGATCCAATGAACTCAAGGGAAGGACTACACCAGTTCATACAGTAATTAAAGGTAAACTTACAGGTAATATTTAAATGGAACCGACACAAGACGCCCCGCTGACCTCCACGCCAGTCCGCAACTCCTCCAAAGACTTCCTGTCCAACATCTCCAGAACAAAAGAAGTGGAGCCAGAAAGCAGCAAATTCACCAATCAGTTGGAGGTGTTTTATAATTTCTCTTTTGCTGATATTGTTTCTGCATTTTGAGCCAACACATTATTCAGGATACACAGTTAATTTCAGTAATAATCTTAAACCTATTTTTGATATATTTTTTCTGTTGTAGACATCAGAGGTAGATTCATCATGCTGCCAATCAAAGTCTGTAAGAAAACGTGAAAGTGCTCCCGCTTCCCCGATAAGAAGACTTAGAAATAGGGTGGTGAGAGAGCAAATACAGACGCGCAGTCAAACCAGAAGAACTCCAGCCAAGCGCAGGCGAGGCAGGACGCGGAATGTGCCGATGACTGAGAGAACCACATCTCAGTCATCGGAGCACTCCACGCCTGATGCTGCAGAGCAAGGTATTGTCCAGCAATATACCATTATTGATGATAACTGTGATATTTAAAAAAGGAAATACATATTGATACTATGTTAGTAATATACATCTTATAATATTGTATTAATAATCCACCTCTTTAATCATTTATGTTTAGTTCCATTTAAGCTTGATTTCTTCCTATAAATGCCAAAAATTCACCTTTTTTTTGTTTTTAAAGAAAATTGTATTTGACTGAAATCCTTGTATTATTATTAATTTTATATTTTCGGTACATTTTGCAATTATATCGTTATCATTACTTATGTTGGCTAACATACCTTTTTCTGTGCATCTCATGCATCATCCTCACAATCCGAAGTGTGATAAAACATGCTGTGGTCTGTGAGGAGTTTGGTAGGGTAGCTACTGCTGCTTGTAGTTTTGTAGAACAGGTTTAAAATAACTCGGCTAAACTAAATAATCAGATCTAATTCTGTTATTTTGTTTTCCTTTCAACTACACACCCACTCCCCAAAAGAAGACTCTGTACTGTCTTCAGATCTGTCAATAGAGCTGAGTCACCATGAGGAACAGGTGCCATATTTGTTCTGCCAGGATGATAATCCTAGTGAGGAGGACGAGGAGCTACCCAGTTTTTTGATGCAGCAGGAGAAAAGTAAGAGAGACTGCGATGACTGAAAATATCCTCTCCAAGGACTGGATGTGGACTGGATAGTATAAACATACTGTTAACTTTATGTGAATTGTCTTTGTCTTGTAGATCCTCCAGCCATTACAGGAGGAGCCTTTGTGTGGTACAAATATAGAAGTTACCCATTCTGGCCTGCATCGGTGAGTGCAGAAACCTGTGTGGAACTGATGATGGGTTTGTCATAAGCACATGTTTTTGCATCCATACAGAAATTAGCTTTTTCTTTTTTACATTTGAGAACTTTACACTTTGCTTTTACCATTTTTGCTCAAGGAATGACTTAAACATTTGCTTGCTATTTTTTAAATGTTCTGTCGTACATTTCAGCTTAATTGAAAGCAATTGGTTGACTAATCACTTTAGCACTGTTAAACTAGTCACTGTGGTATAGTTATTGGTTATAATTCTACATGTTCATTTCAAGTATTCAGTACAATTTTTTTCTTTGCAGGTAAAAAGTGTGAACCGTAAGCAGAAAAAAGCGAGCATCATATTCATTGATGACCCATTGATTCACCAAAAGAAAGGGTAGGAAATTTAAAGGAATTTTCGATCACTGCTTTGTTGGATATCTGCTGTACTTTTACAATGTATAAGGTTGTTATTACAGGTTGTAAGGACCATATATTATCTTCCAATTCTGATCTTGGTGAGAACACCTGAAAGGAGCTGTGTTTTAAAATAAGTTAACGTTAATTAAAGTAATGTCGTAGGTCTTAAAAAGCCTCTTTTAGTCTGATGTAATGTTAACAAATAAAAAACTCATGAGTTGGCACACTTTAAAATCATCAGTAGTTGGTATTTTAGTTTAATTTTTTTTGTTTTTTTTAAGGTTGGCTGTGGCTCTGAAAACCCTGAAGCCTTTTGGCTGTGAAGAAGATCATGAGCTGGAGGTAAGATTTGCCCATGAAATATACACTCAGTATTTTTAAAATGCTGTTGTCCTGTAAATCAGTGGCAGACCATAAATGTCTCTCAAATGTATTCTGTTATAGTGTAAAGCCAAAGAAAAGTATAATGCTGCAATTGAGTGGTGCTTGGATCTTATAACAGACTACAGAATAAAGATCGGTAAGTCCATTTAACTGTTATGCAGAAAGAAACAACATTGTTTGGACACTACTGCATTGGTAGCAGTACTAATCATGTTTTGTCTTTGCAGCTTGTGGCTCATTTTCTGGCTCCTTCCTCGAGTACTTTGCTCACGACATGAGTAGGTTTTGTGCCACCACAGAATATTAGGCCACTGCAGAATGTTAAACAATGACAGAATATGAAAACGTATATACACCTGCATCCTTTCTTGGTCCTAACCATGCGCTTCACTTTTCCAGGCTATCCATTGAGGAGAAAGTACCCGAAGGCAGCCTCAGAGAGACTTACCATCCCCAGTGAATCGGCAGATGTGATTGAGGCACCATTTCAGGATTATGGCTTCAGTGACCAGCATGAGGAGGTCAGCACGAGTTTAAAAAGGTTGCTGCCAGACCGGAGTCATGCCACCCACGACCGTGCTAACAAAAAGCTGGTACATTTCATCGTAAAGCAGCGCATGGTGGAAGGACGCCTTCTGGTATGATTCATGGAGCCTATTGCATTGCTGTTTAAGTTCTTGCTCTTTGCAAACACTTACTAATTTCTTGTGGCTTTTTTATGTGAAAGTATTTATATATGAAGGAAATATGTGCAGATGCATTCCTCTGTCAGTGCAATTTGTGCAAAAATGTTCTATGACATTAATTCATTGAACCCATTCCCTGGTATCCAAATATTCCTGCTTCTTCACTTTTTTCTTACTCATTATAGACAGCATACAGCATTCTCAATGCAATTTCTTCAGGAATTGCGTTCTCTAGTTTCAGTTTAATTTCTTCAATTTTTCTTTAATTTATTTGACAGAGAATGCATTTGCAAACGTTGTCCTTGGTTACGCTTTAAAACTATGTCTCACCAATGTGTTAAAAGCGATACTTTTGCAATAGATTACCTCATATGTTTTTTTTAATTTAACAATGGAGTCTCTGCTGTTGATGAGTGCAAGAGAAACATCCACTATGATATTTGAATGTTTTGAAACATTAATGGATTAAGATCAACACTTGCTAAATGAGCACTGGTCCTTGATAATAATAATAATAATAATAATAATACATTTTATTTTAGGCGCCTTTCATGACACCCAAGGACACCGAACAATTTGTTAAAAAAGAATACGCTAATAGGCAACAGAACATGATAAAAACACAAACAGGAAATCATGGAGGAGACAATCAAGTGGACACAAATTAAACATATAATGGGGAGCACTACAGTGAGTAGGCAGATTTGAACAGGTGGGTTTTTAATTGGGATTTGAATATGGTGATTGTGTCTGACTGTCGGATGTGCGGGGGGAGGGAGTTCCAGAGTCTGGGAGCAGTGCAGCTAAAAGCCCGAGCACCCATGGTGACGAGGCGTGGGGTGGGGACGGTTAGCAGAGGAGGAGCGGAGGGAGCGAGACAGGGTGTACTCCTGAAGAAGGTCAGCCAGATGGGGGGGGGGGGGGGTCAGGTTATGTAGGGATTTGTAAGTGAGCAGTATCAACTCACCCTCCTGTATCGCTCTACTTAGTCTGTGATCAGTGGGCAGCAGCCGTCCAGATGGCTTCGCTCCTTTCTGAGTGATCGGCGTAGGATGGTGAACGTATTCTTGGAAGATGACCAGCAGTTGGACCAGGTCTACAGGTACCTAAATGAACTCTACACAACAGCAGAGGCCATCGCCCCTTGTCTACATGGGATAGACATGCAGCTTGTCTCCTTTGTCCTGGATGTGCTTCTTCCTGAGGTGAGCTAAAGCTTCATCAGCGCTCATTTTGTGTTCTTATATATTGTGTCATATGGTATATTTTTTTATATTGCAGTTCACAGTGGTATGTATGTGGTACATGTGTATTAAGATTATTGTTCTCCTGTGAAGGCCATCATCTATGCCATTGCTGGGGTGGACAATGTCCCAGTAAAAAAGGCAGAAGAAAAGTACCTTAAAGGACGATGCATAAGTAAAAGGTAGAAACCTAATGAGTTAAACCTTTAAAGAAAGACATTGTCACACCATATATTAAATATGATCAGTGAATGTTGTTTTCTTTCATTTCAGAGAAAGACAGGAGTTTGACCTAATGATTGAGCAACAGATGAGGAACAAATGCAAGTGTCAGAGCACTTCACCTGATTTATTGGATGACCCCATCAGTTAGAAGGCTGATTAATGTGAAATAATTGTATTCTTTTTTTTCAAACATTTTTTTATACAAGCAATGATGCATTATTTTGTGCCTTTTTTTTTTTTAAATCTGAAAGGATTTAATTAAATTCTCCTTTGCCTCTTTTTAAGATGCATCCCTATAAATGGTGTGTTATCACTGCAGAAATAATGATAACAAATGATTGGTATACTTTTGGAATGAGGGCAATTATTGTCTGTGTACAGTGCTAAATCCTTTGCAAAGCAATTATTTTGTTTTGCAAATCATGTGTTTATCCATCCTTAAATGCTTATGTGCTATTCATTTGTCAAACATTAAATGCTATTACACACTAAATACTTGACAAGTGCTTTATAAAACACGGATCTTTTAACACAAGTTATCACAACAGCTCAACCACCATGGGGCCAACAATTGTAGCTCTTGTCTAGAAGGCCTAGAAGGTTGTAGCAATATCTATTGTCAATAACCTTGTTATAGAAAATATATATATATTGAGATCATAGTAATGCACTTGTCTCCCTCCCCCAAAGTCCTACACAAATTAGGTTGATTCCTTTGCCAAAAAAGACACAAGAACAAACAAGGAGGAAGATTAATTATACTGATAACCTTATTTATAAATAATATTGTTTTAGTTCATTATCAGCATCTTTGACAATATTGTGGTGAAAGGCTAAAGTGTAAATCTTACGCGGTCATCATATTCTGCAGTCTGAAACAGATGTCCTAACAACCACAAGAAGAAGCATTGTGCTAAGAGGAACAATACATCTCAAGCTAAAAACCATTATGACATCAGCACATCTCTGTATTTTTCTCCATCTTTATTCATTTATACTTATTATTTGGTATTTTTAAGCTTCAATCTTTTCTTCCACCACGAGAAGTTGATATTTTTTCTGCTGAAACACTTTAGTCAACTTTAAGCCGTTAGAAAAAAATGTCATTATGTTTGTTTATTTATGATCTATTCAATAGTGGCACATCTCCACTTCCAATGGGACGTCAGGCCTGTTGTGGGGTTTCTGTGTTATTTTAATACATCCATGGGTTTCTGGGGTGGGTGTGCAGCAGCAGTTGAAAGAAACGCTCGGCCTCCCTCAAACAACTGGGAAAAACCAATTTAGTATCAGATCCAATAGTATGTACCTGCAATACCGGAGGCTGCAGTTTCAGGACCAACACCATTTTGCAACACCATCTAGGGAATTGGATGCTCGCAAAAGTACAACCATCGAGTATTGAGTCTACTACACAGCGAGTCTGTTTTAGACATTGTAATGCTTGTTATTAACGATCTATGAATGCATGAAAATACTTGTTTCTTACGGAAATTAAAGAAATATGATGAAAATATGTTCTATGTGTTGTTATTGTCGAGCAAACACATAATAACATATATTGTATTGAATATATACATGCACACAATGGATATATAAAGTCTTTCAGTGTGGAAGTAGATGTTATGGTATTTAGCAGACGCTTTTATCCAAAGCGACATACAAAAACTTAAGCCACTAAAACAACCATAATTAACACTAGAATATCAATACAAACTTCAATTTATAGAACAACAATAGTGGTGATAACAACAATAATATGAGATTAGCCTACACTAGAACTGGGGTCGTTTGGCAATAATAAAATGCATCACACACGTGTCACAGATTAAAGCACATAATAATACTTGGGGTTAAAAACAGCAATGCATAGATAGCACTAGCCGAGAAAAGGAATGGATTTATCTGATTAGTTTATATAATTATAGTTCCCTGTAGGCTATGGGCAAACCTTTTTCATTCGTGGTCCTTGTTGGTGGGATGAACTACCTGTGCTGTCCGTTCAGCGACAGCCTTTGTATTTTCAAGAAGCTTTTAAAAACTCACCTTTTAGAACATCTTTCTAATTAGTTCATATATTTGAGTCTTACTCGTAAATGTAATCATATAGTTATTATTTTGTCATCACCACTATTGCTAGTCAGTTTTGCTATACAATTATATTTGTACTAAATAACATAAACGTAATCAGCCACTTAAACTAAAGTGAATCGGATGAACGCACGAGAGGCACACAGTGACATGAGAATATTCGAATAAATAAGTAGCATATAGTGAGCATATAAGGCAAGGCAAAGCAAGTTTATTTATTATAGCACCTTTCAACACAAGGCAATTCAAAGTGCTTTACAAAAATGAAAGACATTAAGAAAATGGCATTTAAAAACAGTCATTAGAAGCAAAGATAATCAAATAAACATTAAAAGAAAAATACATGGATAAAAGTTACAGTGCAGTTATATGAATAGTTCAATTAAAAGCAGCGACAAAAAGAAAAGTCTTCAGCCTGGATTTAAAAGTAGTCATATAAAAGAAACTCTGTGTTAGAAGCTTTCTTAGAGATATATTCACTCCAATCCGAATCCAAGTGTTGTTAAGTGGAGAAAAGCTTTTATTTATTCACTATTGTTCAAAGAAAGAAGGCATCATATACCTCATATAGCACTTACATTGAACAATTTAGCTAGGGTCCTAGGAATGCGGTCCTGAAACTGCAGCCTCCGGTATTGCAGGAACATGCTACTCATCAGATTGGGAAATGGGTAAAGGGGTTATTATGTTTTAGTAAATCATTATGTTAGTTATAATCCAGGAGTTTCTGGTAATGCGACATTTTAGGTATCCTTGCCATTAAAACCATGGATGTTTAAGAAGATTAAAACCAGAGAAGGGAGATAGCACGCCCAACCGAGCAATTATTAGTGCTCGTCAAACCACTCCTGGGAAAGATGGTGTTTTTTACAAAATGTTGGAACACATGACAGATAACACTGTTAAGGTTGTTTAATAGGTTGTGGGATTCTGGCCAACTTCCTTCAGTGTGGAAACAAGCGATAATAGTGCCCATCCTAAAGCCAGGGAAAGACCCTTCAGATCCATCTAGCTACAGACCTATTGCCCTGACATCTCATTTATGCAAAATCATGGAAAGAATGGTTACAGAAAGGTTAACATATATCTTAGAAAGTAAAGATCTGTTGTCCCCATATCAAAGTGGGTTCCGTAGGAGTCGGTACACAATGGATTCTATATTTTGCTAGAATCAGACATCAGGAAAACACAGACCAACAAGGAAGTAGTGATTGCAGTCTTCTTTGATATTGAAAAGGCTTATGACATGCTCTGGAAGGAAGGACTACTAATCAAGTTAAAATCTTTGGGAATTGGTGGTAAAGCATATAATTGGGTTATGACATTTTTACTGGACAGGAAAATACAAGTAAGAGTATGGTGCAGAATATTCAAGTTTTTATGCTGTGAAAAATGGTACTCCGCAAGGCAGTGTATATAGTCCGTTGCTGTTCAATATAATGATACATGACATTTTTAATCAAGTTCATCCAAGTGTGGGAAAATCTTTGTATGCAGATGATGGGGCTTTGTGGGCAAAAGGCCGCAATGTAGCACATGTTGGAAAGAAAATACAAGCTGCAATAGTTGAAGTGGAGAAATGGACGAATAAATGGGGATTCAAACTGTCAGTAGCTAAGACGCAGGTCATTTGTTTTACAAAACGGCATAAAATTGCTCCTATGTCGTTAAAATTGTATGAGCAATCTCTTGAACAGGTTATTACAATAAGATTTCTTGGTGTTTGGTTTGACGGAAAGCTAACATGGAGCAATCATATAGGAAAAGTTCAAAATAAATGTAAAAAGGTCAACAATGTACTTCTGCGGGACAGGAGTGGGGAGTGAGTAGGTCATCACTTCTGAATATATATTGGGCACTCATGAGACCTGTATTAGATTATGGGTGTATAGCATTCATGTCAGCAGCAGAATCAAACCTTAAAAAACTGGATGTCCTACAAGCTCAGGCCCTGAGAATATGTAGTGGAGTTTTTAAAACATCTCCAGTATCAGCAATACAGGTGGAAATGGGAGAAATGCCTTTAAGGATAAGAAGAGTGAAGTTAATGTTGGCATACTGGGTAAACCTTCAGGGGCATTGTGATAGTCATCCTGCGAAAAGTATTTTTGAAAGACTGCTGGGAGCACAATGAGTCACATTTAACAAGTTTTGGATGGATTGGCGATGTTAAAGCAGCAAGTATAGGTTTGAATAAAATACAGTATTGCTCCACAGTTCCAATCTCGTCCATTCCACCCTGGTTATTCCCATTGCCAAGGGTAGACCTCAATATACAAAAAGAGTTTAAGGAAAATAAAGAACTGCTACCAGTAGGCGCATAGTCCAGAATTATTTTTGCTAGATATCACTCAGACTCAACAATCATATTTACAGATGGTTCCAAAGATCCAGAGACATGGCGTGCAGGGGCAGCAGTTTATATCCCAGTGAGTAATACATATATAAAGAAAAGGGTAACAGACCATGTGTCATTGTTATTGTAAGTCGCTTTGGATAAAAGCGTCAGCCAAATGCAATGTAATGTAATGTAATGTAATGTCAGTATAAACCACAGAGTTGGCATTGGTGTTGTCATTGAAATGGATAGAGAGAAAGAAATACATAATAGTGTAATTGCATCTGACAGCTTTTCAGCATTATCGAGTATACGATCAGGTAGATCTTCATTTAGAATGGACATAATAAATGAAATATTTCTAATTTTATATAAAATGCAAATCAAAGGCATAGCAACTCGTTTCATCTGGGTTCCTGCTCATGTTGGTGTGGAGGGTAATGAACAGGTGGATATTCTGGCCAAACAAACACTCAGACATTTAAAATAATCTAGAGTTTTGATTCTTTATTTCATTTATTTTGTTTATTGTTTTCTGCATAGTCTCTTGTCCACACTCCAGTCCAGTTGGTCGCGGTAATGCACCTACAAGTTGGTTTGCCAACCGCCAATAAACACTAAAGAAGAAGAAGAAGCACGCCCAACCGGAAGAGGGCAGCAGTAGTGTTCGCTGTGCCAGATTCAATCCCGGCGAAGAAGAAGGGCATGGAGCACTTTCCAATCGTGGAAATGGCGCTTTGAGTGGAAACCAGAAGTCAGAGGGAGCATCTCGTGCTTGGCAGTCTATTGAAAGCCCCAAAGGGCTGTACGTATGTGTTGTAGTTTGGAAAAAGGAGCGGAGTATGATACGGGAGAAAGGGAATCAGGAGATTCTTCAAGGAAATCTGAACATCCGTGGCAGACAGGTAACCTAAACGTGGGTAGCAGCTAGCGGGGCACATTGCATCACGTTTTAGCTAGCAGTACTAGCTCCATAAAGTCGTTAGGCTGCTTAAATTCCCCAAAACAAGAATTGCAGTTAGAGCTCAACTTGTGACTGAAGAAGTCTGGCTCTAACGCGATGTTGCCATTAGCTACACACTTACGTTGATCTAGTTTTATATTGCTATTACGTTTGCAATGCTAAAGCTAAAGGAAGACCACTACATTACCTGTAAGTGTAACGTTACCTACCTTACTTTACTGGTTTAGGGAAAGACAGTTAGATTAGTCTGCTACAAGGAAGTTACGGTATGTAATGGTTCTAGTGAAATAATAACGGCGTTTCTAGATGTCAGCCCTAAAATAGGTCACGGAATCTTTGCCATCATTAACGCGAACGGATCGCGTTAGCGAAAGCAGCAACGGACCTCCAGCTGGACTGGCTAGCCGCCTTGACTAAACTACCCTAGAGTTACATGTTTATCGGCGTTAGTAAAGATGATTTGTTGGAGCACATGTCCAATAACTCATCAGCCGATGCAATGTGCACATAGCTCGTCAGTAAGACTAACTTGAGACGGTGAATTTAGATAAACTGTGATCCTGCGTGACCTTGCAAGCTAACTGGGTAGCCTGCTAATGTGCTGTATACATATTGTCATTACCTTCTTCAGCCCTACATTACATCCACACACATATATAGTGTATGTATTTTCTGTTTAACATCAATGTGTATTTTATTGTACAAAGAATGGGATAATGGGTTTGTTTACATTATGTCAAGCTAGTTTAAAGCTAACTGCAGTAGACCAAGCTAATCTGTATTTTGCAGATGCTAACGACAGCTAACTCTAGATAGTTAACTGACGTTCAAACATCTTTATCGTTCATATATTGTCTGATACGTTTGCCGGTTGGATGAATACATTGATCTGGGTTGTAACACATTGCGAGAGTAACACATTTGATGGATTGTCAAACGCGATAAATGACACAAGTGAGATGTTGTATTTGCTTATATTTGGTTGTGAACACTCTATCCTCTGTAATAGTGTAGCACTTTTAAGTTCTTACATTGTGCTTGTTTAAAGTTAATTCTTACATTAAGTCTACATGTTTTATCACTTCATGGCATGTGGCTGCGTAGTGACAGGCATGTTGCGCGGGAGTTCCGTTGAATCAAATGTGTTTTGAATTCTGGTCACAGAGGGCAGTATTGTGTCCAATTTTGGACGCTGAAACTTAAGGGCAAATTCAGGTGAAGAAGGCTTTGAAAACACCACTGCATATACCAAACTACTGGGGATAATATTATCATGGTGGATGACTAGATAAATAACAAGGCAGAGGCATAGTATACACACACACAGAGTTGAGTGAAAAATGGTTATAACATAAGAATACATAGATATACATCTTGGCTAAAAATGATAATACAAATATCAGTGTTAAAAACATCACACATCAGCTATTAAAAAAACAACAACATTACAACATGTTTCACAATAACACCGTTTTTTGTCAGATGTAGAGCAGCAGTGTGTCATCAATTAGTTTTTGTTGATCTGAGAACAGATCCAGTGGGACCAGTTGTTAACACATTTGCTGACAACTGGGGGTGCAACAGTTGTTCGGAAGAAAGACTCCTTTGTGCTGTAAAACCCAGTTGAGCAGATAAAGCCTGAAGTGAATTTAGGGAGTATAAAGGGCTCAGTGTTTTTATTTATATTTAGGCTTATACATGAAAATATCTAGGTTAGTGTGTTGTTGCGTAATTATGTTTTGACCATCTAACTCTAGCAACAAGATTGCAATATTTGTAAGGTGAAGGTACATTTACAAACTGCTGTTTCTAATATGCCATATATTGTGTTGTTTTTGTTTCTGAAGTGAACCATGCATGACCTGAAGGCCCAAGTCACCAGCAGCCTGCTGCCGTTTCCTGGAGTGACTATAGATGCTCTGGGAGAGGATGAGATCACCCTAGACTCTGTGTTACATGGGAAGTTCACTGTTGGTAAGCCTATTTTTGCTGATCAGTAATCTCTGTAAATGTTAATTGTATCTCCCGCTGATATTAATTAAACACTCTTTCCATCCTTCCGTTAAACAAAGCTTTACATTTACATTTTTGGATGCTTACATTTGAGGTTTTATCCCCAAATACAGCTTGTAGAACTAGGAGCAGGTCAATTGTTAATTCAATCATGAGCTGTTTATTCTTGAACATGGAAGCTAACTTAGTGGTAATTCTGGATCAGATCGCACTAACATTGCACTTTTCATGTCTGTGTGTGAAGGCCGGAGCGGGCTTGCCTGGCTGGCCTGCGGCCCCCACCTGGAGGTGGTCCATTCAGTGACAGGAGAGCGACTGTCTGCGTACTGCTTCAGTGGTGGAGGAGAGCACCCCCCCACTGTCTTCGCTGCCAGGGACTTTAGCTGGCTAAAAAGGTCTGAGCTTTCTTCCAATACCTTTCTCTTTGATGTGGATTGTAGTCCAAACAAACTATAAAATAGTATTTAAACTTGTAATTTGTGATAGTCAATAAGTGTCAGAATTATGTGCTTCCACATTTTGTTACAGAAAATATGTGTTCTTTATATTTATATATATATATGCTAACTTTGATAATGCTTTTTATTATTGTAATTTACTAGGTCTGGATTACTTGTCGGCTTGGAGGAAGCAGAGGGAAGTGTGCTGTGTCTTTATGATTTGGGACTATCAAGGGTGGTCAAAGCTGTTGTTATACCAGGCAGGGTGAGTGGGCAGTGCACCAGGGTCACCTCGACTCTGATCTGGTCGAGGTGGACTAAATCTTCTCAAACAATGATTTCAATGTACCGGTTTAGGGCAACATATATTCTTGCTACTGGTATTTAAGAGAAGGACATCCTATCTTATCCTATCCATCAGAACTTCAACACTTTCTTTCTGTTTTCTTTCCATCCTCTCTGCTGTAGATTACAGCTATTGAGCCGTTAGTGAGTTATGGTGGAGCAAGTGCTTCGACCCAGCATCTTCACCAAAGTCTGCGCTGGTTCTTTGGCATTGCCGCCGTAGTAACAGATCTCGGCCATGTTCTGCTGGTCGACCTCTGCCTGGACGACCTGTCCTGCAGCCAAAGTGAACTGGAGGCTTCAGGTGAGGAGCTTGTGTGATTGAACTCTTCTATTCTAAAAAGAAAATGGACATATAATGATGCGAGCCTATAGGCCTCTTGAGGAAGTAAAAATAATGATTGTCTTGCTTTCTGGATTTCCTGCTACAAACTTGTTTCTCCACCTGAAACCATCTCTCTTTTTATATATTTACTCTGTTCACAGACCTGCAGGTAGTGACCAAATCTCCAGCCGAGATCCCCCGGCTGAGAGAAGTCGGCACCAGTCAGGGCAGACATCTTTGTCTCCAGCTGAATGGGCCCAGCGGTGTTGGAGTGACAGCTCTGCAGTACATCTCCAGGACCAACCAGCTGGCGGTGGGATTTTCAGATGGAAACTTGCAGCTGTGGAACATGAAGACTCTAAAGAAGGAGTGAGTTGTTGTATTTCTGTTAACTTCCATATTCTGTGAAAGTGCGAAAAATGTCTGGGTGTCAGTTTATAGACAATCCTTTGTGAGACCACATTGGATTATTACCGTATGTTCTGTAAAGTATTCTGTAAAGACACAGCAGGTAAAAGGTATGATAAAACACAATAAAATAATTAGTGATCCCTCTCTGTAAAATAAAGGAAGGAAAAACGAATGAATACAATAAAATATAAAAACCTATTAAATAAATAAAACAAAAAAAATTCCGTACAACAAACTAGGTTTTTCATTACAAACATGTTTCATATCCCAAGAGCCATATGTAATGTAATTGCATGTCTGTGGTTGCTTTTTTATTCATAAGCAGCTACGATTTACTTTCCATTTTAGGCTCAACGCTATGCATTTTTAATTTGAAAAATCACCATGTGTTAATAAAAGTTTGCTTCTATGTGTAGATACCACTCCCAGTTAGAAGGTGGCAGGGTGCCTGTGCATGCCTTCACCTTCCAGGAGCCAGAAAATGATCCCCAGGAACTGTTGTTACCTCTGGGCTGTCCAGTCTTCTCAGGACCTGTAAGTCCTGCATTAAACACATGTTTTCTATGTTATTTGTGTGAATTTAAAGAGGTGAACTCATGGCATATTTTCCTTGAGATTCTGTAGGTTCTTATTTTCCCCTTGCCTATTTTTCTCTCACTCCCACACAGCGAGGGAGATATGGTCAGCCTCCGCCTACTTCAGCTGGCTTTCAGTGAAAGGAAGTGTCTATCATCTGGGAAGATCCTCTATGAGGTTTGTAGTGCACACAGAATCACACCACTATTCTCTCTATTGACCTCAAATAGTGAAACCCTTACTCTACTCGTGATGTTTAAGTCCCAGCTGATTTACTATATATATTTACTTTTCTTGATTTACATTCGTCCCTTTTTAACTTGCTGTCTCTCAGGGTCTGGAGTACTGTGAGGAACGTTACAGTCAGGAGTTAAATGGACCAGCTTTCCCTCTCAGGGCCCAGGCCACCAACACCCGCCTGCTGAGCTGCCAGACCATCGAGAAGTTCCGACACCATCCTGACAGAGACGACAGCATGAACGAAGGTTAGCCCGCTTCCCCTGAAACTATCTGTGGAAGATATTAATTTCTATGGAGCAGCTTCTAAGTATTTCCAATCATATTTAATATGCTGTGCTTTGACATTGACAGCGTTGTGGTAGTAGAGAAATATAATCTTTGAAAAAAAAAAAAAAAAAAATCATCCTTTTTGTCTATCAAAATGAGATAGTCTAGGCCTGGGGTGCCCACACTTTTTCAGCTTGGGAGCTACTTTTAACGACTAAATAAAAAACAAAACAATTCCTTAAATAACATGGGCAGGTGTTGAAAGCTGCTTATAATATTAATGACAGTAATTCTATTTGGCCTACCTAAAATTGATAATGCAGTGGGAATGAAATTGTTTTAGCTTGAAGCCGCTGTGAAGGCCATAACAAAAAAAAGAAACATGACAATAAAGGGCCAGGAGTTGAGTTTGAATGGTGCCAGTCATTTTAGTTGCATGTTCTGTGCCTGATTAATGTGTTAAAACTGCTTCTACTGTTACTATCTACTTGTGGAGAACATTCTTTGTCCTTTTTTCTTTGCATACAGTGTGTACTTCCTTTCTGTTGTACCTCCCTTTTTATGTTCTTAATAAATATAAATAAATATCTCCTTCCTCTCTCTCACTCCACATGTACAGTTGCATCTCCAGACACCAGTGTTTCCATCTTCTGCTGGCAAGTCAAAGCCTACGGTCAGGGAACCCCATCCACCTACATCGGGGTTTTTGACATCAACCGTTGGTACCACGCACAGATGCCAGACTCTTTGAGGTATCATTGAGACTGATTTTGTATTTTTGAGTTCTTAATTTAAATACATTTAAAATAAATTACCAACTTTCATCACATTCTTTTTTTTACAGAATATTTTCAACAGTTGCATACACTGAAAAGTTATTTGAAGATTTGGTTGAAGCCATTTTTGTGTTGTAATAATCTCATATAAACCCATTCAAAACTTAACTCCGTCATTTTGATAAATCGTCTTTCACTCAATTTAACTTTCGCTTGTGTGTTGCTTTCAGAACGGGTCAGTCTCTGCAAAATTGTCCCTACCTGGCAGTTTGGTCTCTGGACCCCGTGGTGCAGATGGTGTCTAAACATGTTCTCCTGGATGTGCTGGTGCACGAGCGCAGCCTGAGCAGGGGCCTTCCCTTCACCTGCCCCCCACCAGAACAGTACTTCAACCCCACCACATATAACTTTGGTACGTGTAGACACTATATGTGTGATATATTTTTGTATTATCCCCCCTTATCCTTCTGTATTGATGTGGTCTGTTTGTGTTGCTCAGTATTTGCTTGTGCAGCCTTGTCTCTGAAGCATTGTTCTACTGTGAAGGTTGAGTAAACAGTTTTTCTTGCTTTCATGTTCCAGATGTTACCTGTTTGATCACCTCTGGAATTGTGCACTCGACCTGCTCTGGGTATCAGAAAGAGGTGAGATTCTTGTGTTCAATTTTCAATCATGCATACTTTCACCTCGTCATTAATTGTATGACATTGCATTCAATTTGTTGGAAGCATTTTTGACCGTACATACATTTAAAGGCATGCTTCTCAATGTTTGCTTTTTAGTTTCCACAGCCTTTTCCTGTGTGTTGTCTCAACAAACTTAGGATGTGAATTTTTGTTGTGCTAATGCTACACAATCATTTCCCTTCACAAAGAATTTGGATATGTCAAGTTGATTTGAATGGAAATCACGGTGTATATAGTTAAAAAAATAATGTCTATCCCTAGTTTGAAAAACTCCAAGCTGATGTCTTTAAATGTCTTGTTTTTTTCATTTGAATACTCAAAGTCATCAGTTTAATGTGATTGTAATAGAGAGAAACAAAACAGCATTTTCGATTGTCTAAATAGTTGAATATTATTTATCTATCTATTAATTTATTGATTAGTCAACTTACCATTGCAGCTCTAATGCAAAATAGGATTATTTTAAACCTTACCTCACCTTTGTTATCACCAGACCCTGAGCTTTTTGAAGAAAGCAGCTCCTTGTTCCAGTGAAGTCATCTCCAACAGCTACTCTCGCTGCCTCATGTCCGGCCTCCTCTCCTCTCGCCTGGCTGACACCCAGCCCTCCAGCCTCTCTCAGGTACACACACACATGCTAAAGTGACTCCCTTTTTTCATTTTCCATTACAAAACAATTTCATTCAGAAAAGACCTGGCAATCATTTGTACACGTAACATATTGTTGGCCTGTAGGAGGAGCAGCTGGATGCCATACTGTCCACAGCGGTGGAGACCAGCTCCTTGGGAATGATCACTGGCTGTATCAAGCAGTGGACTGCAGAAGGTGAGGAGTCATTGGGATTTTAAAAAACTGTCAAATTGTTTTCAAAAATGTTCACGGCATTATTATGCAGCCATATATGCAACTATGCTGGCAAAAAACGCATGCTCTTGTTTCTCTCTATGGCTTCACCTCACACATAGAAACGTGTCGTTACTCAGTCCCTTTACATAAATGCATTCAACTCTAAAGCTTTTCATTTTGTCCCTTCTTAACAGAACGACCAGGCTCTGCACTGAACCTGCGCTACATCCTGGATTGGGCCTGGAACAAAGTGGTCCAGACCAAGAAGGACCTGGATGGCATCTGTAAGTTGTAATATTATTTTATTTTGAATGAAAAGACATTCTGAATTATACATATACAAGAACCTTAGAACTTTGAAATCCACCAAGCAGTCTCAGTAATACTTAAATGTGCTTTTTTTTTAAATAACATTGATAATCTTTGAATTAGTGAAGTGATCTTATGAAGTCTTAAGAAATGTTCTCAGTTTTAAAGAAATGGACATCTGACAAACCTTATTTTGGTGACCACTCAGGCTATTTAGTAATACCTTTTTAAATAGATTAGATCTGACGTGTTTGCAAGGTAAAGTAACCCTTCAGGTTGATTATCCATCCTGTTTGCATTTACATTTGAATGTGTGTGTTTGCTCCCTAGGTGCACCGCTGTTTGACAGCTCCTCCAACTTCACAGACCCTCAGACCATGCAGCTGCTGCAGCACAGCCAGAGACTGCTCAGTAACCTCAGCACCATCTTCCACTGTCTGCTCAGTGAAGCTCAGGAACTCACACAAAAAGGTGCAACATACTCAGACACACACGGTGCCCCCACAAATAGAATCACATTCTGTGGGAAACACTGAACTCTCATTCATGCTAAACTGTTTTAATGTGTATTGAGTGTTGAAGTCAATAAAATAGTGTCATTATGGTTTATTACACTGAGCTATAATGCAGTGTCCTTTGATCAGCCATATGTAGTGACTGAGAAGCTCTTGTGGTGTTTTGAGTCATTCAGGTTTATTGAGAGGTTTTGCTTATATGTTTTCCTTGTGTAGGCCTGGTGGGTCTGATAAACAAGAACTTGGTGTCCAATCTGATTTCAAAGTACGCTCAGGTGGTGCTCTGGTTCTGTCGCACCGGTCTGCTGCCAGAGGGATCAGGTAAGGTGTTGCTGGCATAAACATTAAGCCTTTTGAGCAATTTCACACCACACTTTTCCTCTGAGTCAGTGAAAACATTGTTTGCTAACAGGACAATGATCCCATTGACCTACACATATCTTAAGCATAAAGGAATTGTGGAATGTGCAGTTAGGGTTTTGTCTGGATGCTGTTAACAACATTCAATTGAAAATGTTTCTGGTTTTTGAGTTGATAATGTTATTTACTGTTTGACAGAATATTATCTGCATGTTTTTTTGGGTTGCCAAACTTTTGAATATTACTGAATTCTCACTGTATGATTGTAACTGCCCTCTCCACCAGAAGATGACGCTCTCCAGATCTCCAGGCCTTTCTACACTCACTCTGTCATCAGCAACTATTATACTATACGCAGAGAGGAGCTCACCAGGCTGTCTAAGTGAGTAATCTTTGCTTGAAATCAATTCAGTCTTGCATATATTTTAAAATCTATGAATGCAGCTACCAATATTTCTCTGAATTATATCTTTTTTTATGACGGTGTTATTCTAAGTTGATATGATGCTGACCCTCTGCTGGGTGTTCTCAGGGGCAAGTGGTGTGCCGACTGCCTGATGATTGACGGTTTGGTCGGCCAGTGTGGTGAGCGCTTGATCAACCTGTGGAAGAGGGATGAGAATGGCACTGGGCAATACCCACCACCTACATTGCATGTAAGCGTTAAACAAATGTATTCTTTATTTTATTTTTTTTCTACATTCTCTTTCCTGTCTAATTTAAGTTTTATCTGCTGCTTTTACAGTGTGTGATCGTTTGATGTTATACCTGATTTTTGTATTGTTCCACAGGCGTTGTTGGACATCTATCTCCTAGACAACATCGATGAAGCTACCAAACATGCAATTGTATCCTTTCTATTGATAATGCTAAGTTATGTATGAAATGACTTCAATGGGTTAAATGGCTCATTTAATTGACGATCTAACTGATCTTAGTTGTAAATCTCAAACTCGTAAGCCTACCTCATGTATGATCCTTGACCTGTTGTCCCAGGTGATTTACCTGCTGCTGGATGTTCTGTACTCCTTCCCCAATAAGGAGGGAGCTTCAGTGGAGTCTTTCCCCCCAGCCTTTGCCATCCCTATCGGACTGGTGAAACTAGTTCAAGGCCTCTGGCTGCTGGACCATCACGACCACCAGGTACACCCCCTCTGACACATTTGACTGATTTTGTTTAGATGTAGATATGGATATAAAGACGTGCAAGTCCAGAGAGCTTCAAAAGTGTTAACAAACCACATTATTGTCAACAAGATGGATACACTTCATTAATTCACTCTCTTCTGACACTGATGTTCTCTTTTTCCTGCTCAGAGTTCCTTCGAGTTGCTCCTGCATCCAGCGGCCTCTCAGTGTCAGTTTGAGTGGCAGCACGAGCGTGTCCTGCATGCTCTGATGTGCCAGAGCCAACACGCAGTGGCACTCCGATACTTCCACGTTACGAAGCCCCCAGTTTCCTCCACCTCCCAGGCCAAACTCTACCTGTCTGTACTTATACACAACAAGTAAGAACAAAGGGAAAGAACCGTGTGCAAACCACTATCAAAAACAACTTTAATATAAATGTACTATAAAACACAAGAATTCATGTATTTTTGTTTTAGGAAATGAGCATGATAAAACTCCTGTCAGCTCTTGATGTCTTATTTTACCTTTGTTAATCCAGGTGTCTCATAGAGGCGTGGTCCTTACTTCGGCAGCACTCTAATCGCCTCAACATGGAAGAGCTGCTGGCCTTTCTGTATGAGAGCTGCCAGGAGCTGGGCCTCATCCCCGAGCTGTTCAAACTTCCTCTGAGCGTCACTGAGCAGGTGGGAGGGACACAAGTTCATTATCTGATTTTATTTTATTTTATTTATTTATTTATTTATTTTTATAAATCCCTGACCCTCCATTACTCTTCTTGTAGATTATTCCTTTCTTTTGTTTTTGGATTATAAAGTCAATGCCTCAAATTCACGGATCTTGGGTTTGTGTTTCAGGAAGGTTTGGAGAAGTTCCTCCAGGGGACAGGGGGTCTCCAGAACAGAGAACTGCTGATGGTTCATTACCTCCAGCAGGCCAACTACATTCCTGCGCTGCAGCTCAACCAGAGGCTCAAAGTGAACTTCGCGGTAGGTTTGACACTCTGGTATATTTTACTAGGGTTATTATCCCAGCATTAACTTGAGATATAGTTTGTCACATTTATAGTGCTCATGTTTTGTTAAAATATGACTCATATTCAACAGTAGAAATTCCTTTTTTTTTATTATCAATTTAGTCATTTCCCCAAACATGTAAATCCTATCAGTGTGCAAGAAAGAAGATACTCAAATCCCATAATATTTATAACCACATTCTCTCTCTTTGTTTGTAGAATGAGCGAGACCCAAAGCTTAAAGAACGGTCCATCACCAGGAACTCGATATTGGAGCAGTACGGCAAAGTTTTGCCCAGAGTCCAGAGGAAAATGGCAATGGAGAAAGGGAAGCCGTACCAGCATCCCAACGCCATCCACCGAGAAAGTGAGCAGATGCCCAACTTAAACTTTTGTCTATTTCTATTTGCTCCAAGAAACATATATGTTGCGTGCAACCACAGCTTTAGTGTCTGTTATTTTAGTTTAAATGTAATCTCTGCTAAAGTTACATTATTTATCCAATATAAATAATACACTCACTTCCTGTGTTACAGTTTCTCGGCCACAGCCACTGTCAACCATCACCAGACGCTCCGTCAGTGAGAAGGTGATGTCGAGGGCCGGCTTCATCAACAATGTTCTGTCCAAGATTGAGGAGGTGTGGTTGGGCAAAGGAGCTTCACCACAGTCCTCCCCAGGCAGGAGGTGAGCAGAAAATACAAACATGGCAACTCAAGTTATTCATTTGTATTGGTTTTAAAAGAATAACCTTGGTTATTTTCTAATCTTTAAAAAAAATGTGTCTGCCAGTCCAAGGGCAGCTGATGCTCACAGCCCCAAGCCCTCCTCCTCCTACATGGCCCTTTCTGAGCCATTCCTGGGGACTCCCATCACCATGACCTCCAGACGAAAGTCAAGGTACTCTCATGAGAGCATGTTAGGAAAACCAAGCAAAGCCAACCATACACATTAAAGAAAACACTTGATAGCTTTATTCCTCTGACACAATTTAATCAAAAACAAGTTGTTTGATCATTTGTCATAAAGAACAAATAATAATGTGATGTTAATATTTATCTAACCAGGTTGAAGGACTTGGTGGTTCACCCCTCCTGTACGACCCCCCGCCCTCTGCTCAGTCCTCCCGGACCTCTCAGCTCTTGGGTTTCTCCGAAGAGCATCTGCAAGGCCCCTGAACTCAGTCTGCTGCAAACACCACAGGTTGTCAAGGTAAGAAATCAACACCTAAACGCTTACTCATCACGATATCTTAAGTGAAATCGATTTGAAAAAATGCTGTTTATATACATATTTTTTTCCTTCTCATTAATTGACTAAGTAACCCTGGATAATTTAGAATATTTGTTGCTTACACTTCATGTTTTTGTTTTCTCAGCGAGCGCGGGCTTTGGCTGCTTCTGGCCCTGTGTTCTCTGCCTTCACTCCCCAGTCCATTCTGCGCAGCAGCCTGAGGCCCACACCCGTCGCCACCCCGTCTGCTTCTCCAGGACGCTCCATCACCCCCCCTCTCCGCAACAAAGAGAGCCGGATCACCTTCATTGATGAGGAAGAAACTCCTGTATCGGTGAAGGGCATCCGATGGACCAATGGGGTAAGACCAAGCACTATATGGCAGTGGTGGGTCGACTCTCAGAAGCCAACTCACACGCCAAAAAACACCAACTCTAACTCATTTGTGCTTAGTGGTTTCTGTCAGCAGACTCAACCATTATCCCCATTTAGCTGTTTAGCTTTTTAGTTTCATTTTGTCTTAAAGTGGACCTATCATGCTATATTTGAATAATATATTGTAGGGCCATACCTATATAAGACATGTCTGTGAAGTTTCTTTTTCAAAATACCAAACAGATCATGCATTTTAGCCATGCCTCATTTCGCTCTATTCCAGCCCTGTCTTCACAAGGGCTGATTCTGTGGCAAATGAGCTGCAGCTGACCACGCCCCCCTGCAAAGGAGGGGGGCGAGGCACGAGCGTCATGTTACCATGCTGTTACCATGCCACGCAACCTCTCATTCCCCTGATAGGTGGAGAGTTGGCCATATAGGCGGAGCTCCTTGTTTCTGACGTCAGAACAATTTCAAATCTGTATCAGATCCGTTGCAGCCCCGTTTTTAGAGATTTGGGTATGGAGGAAAAGAGAGAGGGTTGTGTTTTCTGACACTTGTGGCGCGTTTCCACTGCAGCGGGGTAGCCCCGTTTAAGCGTCCTCGCTCTGGCCTCGGGCTGCCTCGCTGGCCGGCCCAGGCCGTGGCGCATTTCCATTACAGTTTAGGACCTGGGGTAGCAACGCAGTGTAGGCGGGGCGATCGGCTTTGTTTTTGTTCACATTTCGAGTTGTTCCGTCGAGCTCCCGCTGGATTTGATCATCTCCAATGAGATGTAGGAACGTCGTCACCTCCTCGGTCGACCACGGTGTGCTTTTCTTATTAGACGTAGCCATTTTTGTAGCTCATCCGTTTACAAAATGCTGTTTATAAATATGCTGCAAGCTTGCTTCTAAATATATATGCGACGCTAGGGATGAACTCGCGCGCGATCTTGTGACGATTCTCTCTGACCAATCAGCAGTCGAGAGTGTTGACGTCACTAGTTCAGCCCTGGCCCTGGTCTGAGGGAACCACGATTTTATGAGGCCGGAAAAAGAGGGAAAAAGTACCCGCTGGCCGGTACTAGGCTATATGGAAACGCCACCAAAAACCGGCCTGGCCGCTTGAGGACGGTTAAGGACGCTTAAACGGGGCTACCCGCTGCAGTGGAAACGCGCCATTGGTGAGTTCCCTGACACACCAGGGACACATATTCATGTATAAAAGACGTACAAAAGTGCATTTTGCATGATAGGTCCCCTTTAATTAGAATTGTGACAGTTTGGGAAAATAATAAATACTGCAACATAAACATACGTTACGAGGCAATGTGTGAACTAGTCCTCTTAAATTTGGTTAATTTATGTGATAGAATTTATGTCATTTATAAAGTTGGTCTTGCTCAATGTTCTCCCATCTATCTTATTTGTTTGGCAACATCTAACTGACAAAACTAAAAAATCAAGGGCCAAACCAAAATGTATTTTTTTGTAAAGTGTTCCCTGCCTCCTGGTCTTTAGTCAATAAAATGGGTTTGCTATCTTCTTTGGATTTCTTCTCTAGGTGGCAGCAGACAGTGAGATTAGCTTGTTGACCAGAGACCCCATTCTATCCAAGGCAACACGTAAGACCTGGCCTGCACAGCCTGCGGAGGAGGACGAGGATGATGAAGAGGAGGAAAGGGAAGAACCTCATGTGAAGTTCCTGCCTCCAGAAGGTGGTCTTCCCTCCCCAGAGCTGAGATGCTTTGATAGCGAGTCAATCTCCATCCATGAGAGTGCTGCAGAAACCAGACCATCAGATGCAACACACACAAAACTCAACCTGAGCTTTGACACCAGCCAGAAGTCCGACACCACTCTGGAGTTTTATGATGCACAGGACCAAGAAAGAGAGGAGGGGCAAACAGCGGAAGAAGACGAGGTAGTGACAGTGAACATCAAAAACCCAACTGAAAATGAAGAAGCAGAGGAACAGCTCTCACAAACCATTGAGCAAACCCCTGTCCTGACATCAGAGGACACAGCGAGGGAGGAGGAGAATGAGGATGAAACATTTGAGGACGTGATGGAAATTGGTCTTGAAGAGGAGGCTAAACATGTGGAAGAAGTTCAGTCTAAAGAGGAGGATGAACAGGAAGTTCAGACCATTAGCAAACATGAAGATGCTGCAACTCCTCCCCAAGAAGAGACATCCATTCAAGGTAATTCAGAATCAGAATACCTTTATTAATCCCACGGAGGGGACATGTGCGTAGTTGCAGCAGGAAAAAGAGCCACAGAAAAAGTACTAAGTTATGATATAATAAAAAGTTACATCATTTAAAAAAAATACACATCCTGTAACAGTTCTTAGGATTTAGCAGCCAGGTATATATTACCCAGTTATTAACGGCATCTATATATATTGCACATATTGCACATAGGTGGTTGGTATTTAACAGCAGCAAGTTACACAATTTACAAAATACACACCTTGTAACAGTTCTAAGGCCAGGTATATATTACACAGTTATTAACGGCATTTATATATTGCACATAGTTTGTAGGTATTTAGCAGCGAGGGGTGATATAGTATGTGTGTGGGGGGGGGCAACTAGGGGCTGTGCTGGTTGTATAGTCTGACCGCGGCAGGAATGCAATCATTTGGTCATCAGGAAGGTAATCATTTGCGTAATTAGGTTTATTTATTTCTCAATTACCTTTTTAGAAGTCTCACACCAAGTCACCCCACCAAGATACCTAGATCTGCTCAGAGATTTACAATTCCAAAATAAGAGTTGTTAAGAAAAATTGTTTTCCCCACACTTCCCTAAAACATGGCTTGACAAACGTGTTGTATTCTACTAGTTTGTCACCAGGTTACTGAGGGCACAGACTCTGGTGCTGAAGTCGAATCCCCGGATCTTCCAGTGGAGCAGGACGTCCAGACTGAGGCCTCTGAATCCACAGAGTTCACCGAGGCTCTGAAACCATCTGCAGCCCCTGAACCCACAATCACACCAGAAGAGGAACTGGAGTCATCAGGTCCATCTTTAAATTATGCATTTAAACTTTAAATGTGAAGATATTACCAAGTAGGCAACGATAGTGGTTCTTAGACCAAAAAATCTACGAGGAAATTGTGTAACACCTGGCTTTTCTATGGTGGGAAATGTACCCATAACCATACCAAGAACATAAGGACTTCATACTTACGAGTTCTCCTGTTTTATCTGACAGATCTGACAGCGTTTGTGCAGAGACATCTGTTTGGCGGCGATCCGTCTCCTCCGCTCTCCCGCTCAGGAATCCACGACGCATCCCAGATGCAGGCCTCCTTCAACAGGTCTGTAAATGTTCTGTTTACAAAAAGAAGAACAAAATCTCTTACCTATAAGACCAATTGTTAAAGCTGTGGCCAGAAGCATATGTTTTCAGGTTGTATGTATATTCATATTTGTCCTTTCCAATGTCATGAACACATCATATTTTAGAAGTTAGGTGGTCGGTCAAGTCTTTATTTTAATCCATATCTCTGAAGTGTATTATTGAATAACAGAAACACTTGAAATAACACTACATCTTTGTAGTTGGGGACCCAAGTTCCCATCAGCAAAAACACATCGGTTTGCTATCCTGGCTCCAAAATGGTGGAATGAGCTCCCCATTAGGCGCTTTCTCACCAAGTACTTTGCCGTAGTTAGTTCATCAGAACTAAAGAGCAGATCGCGTTCACACCGGAAAGTCCCTGAGGGAGGATTAGTCAAATGAAGCCGCTGACATTACTTCTTCTGCTTTGGGTTTACTGGCAGGCCGCAAACAACTTCACGGCGTATACTGCTACCCGAAGTCCCCGGAGTTGGAGACTGGCTTCAGTAGAAGCTGCTGGGAGTCCCAGCAGCTTCTACTGAAGCCTTGAGAGTAAATCGCCAGAAACGCCGACACCTCCTCATCTCCACCGTTCCCACGTTTTATTTTGTGTTGCCATAAGTTAGTCTCTCTCTGTTGGTGTGCTGGGCTAATGCTAATGCGAGCAAATAAAATTGCGGCTTCACAAAACTTTTTGGGAGTTTTACGGGGCGTGGTTTGCAATCCGCCCAGCCAATCAGAAATGTGAACCTTTTTCTCCCATGAAAGTCCCTGCTCTCTAGCAGGGACTGAAAAGAGAGTGGAAAGGTTCTCATGAACTAAGTTCTAGTTCCGGATTTTTTTGGTGTGAACACAAATTTTCAGAACTATATCGGAACTATACTGGGAAAAGTACTCCGGTGTGAAAGCGCCTATTGACATCAGGACAGCAGAAAGCTTACACATCTTCCGGCGCAGACTAAAAACTCTCTTTCGACTCCACTTCGAGCAATACAATTACTAACAAAGCACTTGTATACTAACAAAGCACTCATATACTAATAAAGGACTTATTATCTAAAGCCAGTTGAGTAGCACTTGAAATGTTTTGGCTCTATGAATGGATTGTCCACAGTACTGAATGTATGTAAGTTGCTTTGGATAAAAGCGTCTAACAAATGACGTGTAATGTTGTATTTAGGTTTTTAATAAAAATGTTATTCTCCCTTCTCCCAGTGAGTCAGCGGGTGATGCTGATGAGGAGGTGCAGGATGCTGCTGAAGCTCCTCCAGTGTTCACCAGCCAAAAATCTTCTGCTTCTGTGACGTCGACGGAGCCAACCGGCACAGACTCCCAATGTGAGGACGACACATGCAAATGAACACTGACCGGGCTCAATGCTAACTTTTAAAAGTGGTTGCCAGGCTGGCAACCAGGCATCAGCTTTTGGTTGCCAAAACTGAAAATACGGTTGCCATTTTTAGTCACCTTATATTTTATATAATTAAGATACTATACAGTTATACATCAACTTAATAATGAAAATGTGACACAAAAGAATGTTCAAATGCTTTACAATAAGTTGAAACTAAAGTGGTAGTAAACTTGTCCACCCTCAATTGCTGGTATACAAAATACCAGTAGTGCAGCTGTTATGTTCTTCACAGATCCACAAATGAATTGAGCAAGTCACTCGTTTCTTGGTCATCCGTTGTCTCCCTTTCAAATGTGGGTTTCCTTGACCTTTGTGCTGACCCCACCATAGATCCACTGGCCCTTCAGCATTGAAGTCTTGGATTGGCCACACTAATACATTTCTAATGTTAAATAAATGAAAACCATTCACAGTTAAGAATTAGATATTAATTATTAATGCTACATGTACATATATATTTCACCTCCCAAGACTTTACACATTTCCTCTTTGCTTTTCGTTCGGGTTCATCTTGCGCGTTATCAGTTGAATCACTTTGATCATTCGTTTGAGAAGTTGACGGGTTGGCCGAACTTTTTACCCCACAGTCAAACAACTTAATTTGCTTCGCCATTTTTTGTAAAACAAACGGCGCACTGCGCACGCGACTAATTGACTAAATAATAATAAATAATTGACTAAACGTGCATCGCTTCGCTTTCTGGCTCCGTAATCACACCAATGCACGTGCAACTTAAGTATCAGGTTCCGACTGGTCACAACAATAATTAAATATCACTCTTAATACAACAAATATTTAACATTTATCTATTTTGGGGTGCACATTTAGCTGTTTGCTGTCCTTATTTCTTTATGTTAAAAACTGGTTGCCACTGATGGCAACCAAAGGCCAAGAAGTGGTTGAAATTGTATCTGAATGGTTGCCAATGGCAACCTGGCAACCGTTACTGTCGAGCCCTGACTGACTATTGCTGTACTGCTTTACACATTTCCTCACACACCTGCACTTCTCTGCTCTCTCCTTTTCTACTAGCTGTTGTGAGTTTGAATGATAGTGATGAGCTTTCTAGCGCCTTGTCAGAGGAAGAAGAGGAAGAAGAGGAGGAGGAGGAGTCTGATCAGGAGGAGGAGGAAGACCAGGAAGAGGAAGAGGACTCTGGTAGTGAGGTGGAGATCATTGAGGAGGTCCAGGGTAATGGGAGGCTGCCACCGCTCCAACCCACTTCAGTCTTTGTACAACAAGAACACACGCACTTCCTGCCAAGTCTGTCGGAACAGGAGGCTGCGCAGTTCTCTCTGATCGAGCCTGGTGCAGAGATAAAGGTAACACTTTATTAGGCATTTACTCAATTAGTCGTGATAAAATATGTAATTGATCACTGTGCAGACCTCCGCTAAGGCCAAAGTGTTTATTTTGTTGTTGTTTTACCTCTTTGGCAGAGGTTAGAAATCAAGAAATAACTCTTCCTGTGTGTTTATTCCGCTACAGATGTTAGAGGAGGACATGGAGGGTGAGGTGGTGATGGTGAGACTCGGTGCAGATGAAGAATTAGATGCTGTTGAGGACGAAGAGCAAGGAACATCATACATGGAGCTCAAACCCTCGACCACTCTCCTCGTACCACTGGAGCTTGTGGAGGGGCAAGGCCTGGTCGATGGCTCTCAGCTGTGTCTTCCTGGGCTTCAGCAGACCCTTGTGCCAGATGAGCAGAGGACCGAAGCTAACAGCAGCTTCTCTCTGATGCTGGATATGGACGATGATGCAGACACGCTGCCAATGGAGAATGATCTGCAGTGCTCTGACCCTCCCTCCCTGTCTCCAGCAATAGAGGCTCTTGACAAACCCGAGGTCATTATTTTGGACACAGATGATCAGGATCCTCCTGGGTCTGGAGAAATCTCTGAAAAGGACCAGGGCAAAGAGATGGATACTTTAGATGGAATTGAGCTAGATGGGACGACAGAGTCAGAACTTGCTGGCCTACAAACTGAAAACAGTGCGGAAAACCTTGAGACAGAAGATGCTAAAGTACAGAGCGATGAAGAGGTAGTAATGTTGGTTGAAGATCATGAAACTGCAGGCCTTTCAATGTCAGAACCAGATCCAGTGGAAGAATCTTCAGCAGAAATGCTCGTTGAAGATCAGGAACAGGAAGGACGCTCAGTCTCTGGGCCAAGTCCAGTGGGAGAACTTCCAGCACAAATGCTGGCTGAAGATAATGAACCTGAAAGTCTTTCCGACTCTGGACCAATTCCAGTGGAAGAGCCTACAGCCGGAATACTGGCTGCTGAAGATCAAGAACCTGAAGTTATTTCGTTGTCTGAACCAAGTCCAGTGGAAGAGCCCACAGCAGAAATACTGTCTGCTGAAGATCAAGAACCTGAAGTCATTTCATTGTCTGAACCAAGTCCAGTGGAAGAACCCACAGCAGAAATACTGGCTGCTGAAGATCAAGAACCTGAAGTCATTTCATTGTCTGAACCAAGTCCAGTGGAAGAACCCACAGCAGACATGCCTGCTGAAGAAGATCAAGAACCTGAAGTGCTTTCATTGTCTGAACCAAGTCCAGTGGAAGAACCCACAGCAGACATGCCTGCTGAAGAAGATCAAGAACCTGAAGTGCTTTCATTGTCTGAACCAAGTCCAGTGGAAGAGCCCACAGCAGAAATACTGGCTGCTGAAGATCAAGAACCTGAAGTCATTTTGTTGTCTGAACCAAGTCCAGTGGAGGAGCCTTTAGCAGAAATGCCTGCTAAAGAAGATCAAGAACCTGAAAGTATTTCCGACTCTGAACCGAATGCACTGGAAGTCATCCCACCAGTTGTGGATGACAAAGACTCAATGGCAGAGCAAGATGCTAATCAGGAGATGGGAGAGGAGAAGGAAGAACCAGCACCTGCAGGAGTTGTGATCTCAAATAGCCAGCCAGAGGAACAGCCGGTGCTCGAGGCCCCATCTTCCCAGAGGAAAAAGAAGGCTCCTTCCACGCCAACACGGAGTACAACAAGAGGGAGGACGATTGCCTTTACCGTTCCCCTCCAAGAGGAAGCAGAGGAGAAACTAACCAGCACTCTGTTTCCTGCGTCTCCTAGTCGTAAAAGTAACCAGAGCAAAGTCCAATTTACCACACCTCGAAGAAGTTCTCGTAACGCTAAGCCAGAGCCTCCAAAAGAAGATGTTAAAGAGGAGATCGCCATGGATACTGAAAACACAACGACTTCACCAGCCAGACGTCGGGTTTCCCAGAAGGCCACCTCAATAAGGAACAGCAAAAAGACCGAAAGTGGTGATGATGATGATGAGGAGGAGGAGGAAATAGAAGGCGTCACAGATACTAAAGTTTATCGGCGAACAAGCTCCAAGACTCAGACACCGGCCAAACGCAGGACCACTCGGGTAAACACTCCGACGAGGTCCAGCAGAAGGATATTGAGTAGCAGTGAGGTGGAGTCGGCAACATTGGAGATCTTGGAAGAACAGAAGGAACCGGTGGAGGTCTTTGCAACTCCGGCCAAACGCAACTCCAGGAAAAGCAAGACGACATCATCAGAAACGCAGACAGCACTGCTGGAGGAGGAGGAAGATGTAAAAAGATCTTCCAGTCTTGGCAGGGCGACCCGACTGTCCAACCGCATTACCCTGAGCGTTTATCCACAAGTAAGTTATTCAAACCGGTTCTTTCTTGTGTATGCCAGTTGTTGATGTAAAATAAGCTGAAAGCTGTTTGAATGCTTTGAATGTTTCATCTTCACCATGATGTTTATAGACGTTAAGATTTTTCTTTATGTTGAACCATCAGCTGAATTTTCACCTATTATGCAAAATGCACTTTTTCATGTCTTTTATACATAAACATGTGTCCCCTCTGTGTAAAGAGATTCGTTCACTTTTTGTCCTGATCCATTTATATAAAAACCTGTCAGAAAATGAGCTGATCAGATTTTGGCCACTTTATGATGTCATAACGATGTTTTGGCTTGTGTAACCATTAACCAATCAGCAACCAAGGTAACCCCCACCCCCCCACCTTATCACCTGAATCTCCTCCTAGAGCACCATTGTGTTATTTTAACCAAATCTCTCTCAGAGGCGCGTGGGGAGGGGCTCCTTATTTTCATCTAAAGTAACAGACAGAGAATCAGCACTTTTTAAACGTTGGGCTGAAACAGAGGGGATTATGGGTAATGCTGCAATGATCTGTTACGTGTTTGGAGCCAAACACTTCAGAGACATGTTTTGTTTACTTCTGAGACCTATAATATATTGATGAAAACGGTATGGTAGGGGACCTTTTTAAGATGCATCTTTCCATAAAATAAGTGTTACCTCATTTCAGTTTCAATTCACCTTTTTTTTTGTTCATTATTCCATGTTGCATGTTTATTAACCCAAGCCATCCACATTTCACTCTCAGGTGAAACTTGTTCCTCTATCAATTCCTCAGAGTTTAAGGAAGACGATAAGAGAGACGATTACTGATAATATCAAAGAAAGTGGAGATCTACTGGAGCCTGAAGTAAACAGCAAAACTAGTCGCTCCAACGCTCGTCGATCTACAAGAACCAAGCTCTGGGATTACCCCGAGGAAGACCATCCCTTACTGGACTCCCCTCTGGAGGTGCATTCAGAGATGCCTGTGGCAGACGCCCTCATCAAGAGACTGCAGGATGAGAAGGAGAAGCAGGAAGGTATGTGTGAGGATACAGTGAATCTCAGTGTCTGTAAGATAGCCATCATAACATACAACAAGCTTTGAGGTAGTGACACAACAATTTCAAATATTTCTATCCAATTACAGTCGTCACAAAGATGGTAAGAACTAGCAAGAGGAGTACCAAGTCTTCAGTGGAGGAGGTTCACTTCATACTTCCTGTAAACCCAAGCCTCATCCCTGAACCCGAAGAGGAAGAGTCTAATCCAGGCGAGAATTCCTACATCTACTCCCCCTCACGGAGAAGAACAAGAGGTGAGCTGTTTATACATTTACCTGTATGTCCATCTGTTCATCCGTTCATCCATGATGGTTTTAACCCTTTGTGTGTGTGTGTGTGTTTGTGTGTGTCAGCTAAGAGAGGACAGTCTCCCAGCCCCAGTGAAGAGTCTGCGGCCCGTGTCACTCGCAGCAGGAGGAAGGTTGTCAAAGAAGCTCCTCAGGTAAATACTTCTGCTAATAAGGTCTAAACATTTGCCTGGATTTGTGTTTTATTCTGAAAAGTTATTGCTCTTGTCACACATACACAAAATAAAAACGTTTGTCCTGTTTACTTTCACTGTATGCAAGCTTACTTTGGCAGTGAAGCAAATTAGCATCCTTGAAGTTCAACTTTAGTACACTTTCATGTGAATATTGCCGATATGACGACAATACTTGCTCATTATACTTGGATTCATTAAATATATCTGCAGTTTAATTATATATTTGATTTTATACTGCCCATTTTCATATGATTTTATAATGATGGTAGCCATATGTCAAGGGTTGTATTTTAATTCGGAAAATCAGTCATTCTGTTGTACATTGAACAAAATGTCTTTAAAAAGCAATTTTTTTGTTTGCAGGATGAAATTGCTTCAGAAGAAGACCTTGGCGAGATGGAAAAAGCAGCAAGTGTTTCTAAAACCAGAAAATCAGGCAAAAGAACAGCCAAGTAAGACCCTCTTGTCATGTCGAAAAATACCTTTTTGAACCCTTAGACATAGGATAGAAATGTCTTGCGTACAAACGTTTGACGAATGCTAGTCACAGCATTTGTCTCTTTGTCTTCAGATCCAAAGCCGTGTTGGAGCGTCCTCCCATAGCAGAGGTGGAACTGCTCTCTCCTCTGCCCAGCCCCGCTGATCCCCTCCCCCGAGCACAGAAGAGGACGAAGGAGGGAGAGCCCCCAGCCCCCGGCAGGAACCTTCGACGCAAACGAATAATGGAAACCGTTTTCTCAAAACCTGTAACACGGAGGAAGAAACTTTAAGGAGGTCGGTGGTGGTTTTAACCGGGGAACCTCAGACAGCCGCGAGAAGATCTGAACCAACTCGGTCAAGAGCTGTCAAATACAAGTGTATGCCTAAACTCATTATGGTTCTATTTCCTCAAATGCCTCCGAGTGCTGTGGTTGTCTTCGTATATTTACTTCAATGTAGGACAAGTGAATGAAAAAAAAGGCAATTTAGGCATGAAAATATATTTTTGGGAGAAAACACACTGGACAGCAGTGAGAGAGAGGCATATATTTTTGGAGTTTAAATATCCCGTTCATGTGGACTGGATTTCACTTGATATTGCATCCGTGGGACATTTTAAGACGCTCCTCGTAATCCGCCTAAATCTCTGGACACAGAACGACACAAGGGAATTAAATCAAGGTGGGCTTTTAGAAGCGCCCAGTAATAAAACCAGAGGGACTGAAGTGAGCCTTGCTCTAAGAAATTGGTTTTATTCACACTCTTTTAACTTTTTTTTTCTTTTTTTTTTTTGTTCTCCTCGTTTACTTTTTAAATCTTGAGGCCTGCTACCTTTTTCTATTTAAGAAGAAAAGCAACCAACCCAGTGGAGTCAAACGATTTCTACTGATAAATGTGTATATAGTCTTTTGCTATGTTCCAAATAAAGTACATAAATACATCGTAAAAAATGTCTTTCATTTTGAGGTTTTAAGTGTCATGAATGCGTTTGATCATCTAATCAGCCTGCCTATGCCATAGTCTTAAAATGTGTCAATTTGAGGGATTACCTGTGAAAGACTTGTAAACTAATGCCATCAGATTTGAGTGTTTGTGTAATAGGGATGATGTAAAGTGTGAAATCAACAAAAAGACTTACACAGCTGTTTAGGGTTTTAAAAATGTAAAATAGATGTTTTGCGACATGTTCATAGACTTGTTAAACTAAATTTATGGCAACCAACATGAGAAATAGGCTATTTTCTGATGAATGTGTGTAGAATGTCTTATTTTTGACGACTGCTCTTTGATAAATATGGCTACGCTTGAATACTTCAAATCCTGTCTCAATTCAATTTATTGTCTTTAAGAGCGTGTGTTTTCCTGTCAGTCTGTGGTGTGCAGTGAACGCCTGGAAGGAGCTACCAGGGTCTTATTGTCCTCCACAATAGCTGCGACCCTATCCTGTGCCTCAGATAATATCGGATGTCCATCAAACTCAATCAACCCTTCAAATGCCAGCTTAGGTTATATTTAATGTCAGAAATGTAGCTGCTAGGGTGAAAAGTAATTTCAGAGAGTCATAAAATGTTGACATTAATGTAGCTGTAACATGTGAATCCACCCTGGAGGAATTACACTATTTCCCAGAGCTCTGTCTCTTTTATAATTTATGGGTGTAGAGGAGGGGAAAGTGAAACTGGCCCCATCTCCACGGCAACACTCCAATAATAAAACGGCAGGGCAGGGAGAAATAATATAGCAAACTAAAAGCATAGATTGCTTCATTTTAAATGTTGGTTATTATTGTTTGTTATAGTCAATCAAGTTAACTAGTTAATGTTAAGCCTGTAGCAGTATCTGCTAAATACTGTCTATTTTAGTTTAGTGTCCAGTGTTTTTTTTATATAAGAAAAAGAAAACATTCAGGGAACAACAATATTTTGTATTACTGCAGATTTTTATTCCATAATGTGTTCCTTCTATTGCACTGTAAATACTGTTATATTTTAATTATTTTAAATATTTTTCTAGTTCTCTACTTGTTTTGAATTCTTCTTCTTCACGACTCCTAGTCAAATTCCTCGTACGTGTAAACCTACCTAGTAATAAACCTGTTTCTGATTCTGACTACAGATTTAGGCATCATAAGTCTTACACAGTATAGACAATGTGTAAACTTTCAATGTTTTCTTCTTGATTGTTTCCGTAAATTGTCTTAATGCATTAGCTAAACAGACTAATATGGACGCCTCTGTCCCTGTCGCACTGACCTGATAGTGTCCATGTTGACGTGTAACTGGATACAGTCCCAGTGTGAGGGGCCGATCACTCTGCTGCTGCACCATGAGGGCTAAAGCTGCAGGCATGCACAGCAAGGACTGTGTCAAAGTGGCCGTCAGAGTCCGGCCCTTCAACAAGGTCAGTGTGGAGAATATGTACATGCAATATGTTTCACTTTTTGAATTTGTATGCAATTTCTCCGTTATTTATTTGCCTGACGATGTTCTAATGTGTATGTTTTGCATGTCACATTAACTGATATTAGCATTCAAGAACGTGCCTGTTTGCTATCGTGGCTCCACAATGATATCAGGATGAAACTCAATACATCTTCTGTCGCAGACTGAAAACCCCCCTGTTTCTACTGCACCTTGACCATTAAACCTAAATCAAACAAAAATAAAGTGACTAAGGAGTAACTTAAACGTTGATGCTACTAAAATGCTTATGCACCACCATTCACAATGGTTTAGTTTATTCGAAGAAAATGCAGCTGCAGGTTTATTGATGTTCAGAGTTTGTGTCTTCAGGGTTTATTGCACTTAGTGTGATTCGCTTTAAAAAACGTCAGCTTAATGTAATATATTAATGTTATTGGACTGTTATACAGTACACACTGATGGAACCTACCAGATCAAAAATAAAGACAATGCATTGACACATAAGCTTGTTGTTATAATCAAGAGTTGTATTATTGTTCATATCATGTACATTAAAGTTAGTATTCAAAACTGTGTAACGGCAAACAGGTTGATTTGACATCATACAGATGTATTACTTTTCTACAAAAAAGATAGCAACACTGAAGCAGATGTTATTTTGTAGGCCTGTCTGAAAGCAAAGCCCATGTAAAATAACAAATATACAATTAAATGAAATACAGTGAAATGTGTATAGGAAGAAGTCCCACTTGCAGTTGATTTGTTAGACAAATTAAACCAAAGCTGTTGCCTATAAAACGCAATTCTACCAAAAGTGCTAAAGAGTATATTTATTTTGTTGAGCATTAAAGCATGCAAACATGTTCTGGTAAACACCTGAAATATCAAGAATGAACATGGAAATGAGCAAAATATGTCCCCTTTAAGTAGCCAACTTAAGTTTAATTCTAAAGAGGATTTGGACATTGGTCTTAGGACTCTCACTTCTTCCTATTTCCCTTTAAATCTGATCTTAACCCCCCCCACAGTCTGGTTTTGTCCTTCTCTCACCCTGCTTCCTCCCCCCCCAGAGAGAGAGGGCCGCAGGGAGCCGATGTATTGTCTCCATGGTGACGAGCTCCATCACCATCCAGGACCCTCGTGAGTCCCAGAGCCGCCGCTCGTTCTGTTTCGACTACGCCTACTGGTCCCACAGCGGCTTCACACGGGACCGCGGGGGCCTCTACGTCCCCGAGGAGCCGGGGGGGGCGATACTCCGACCAGGTCAGTGGCTCCTGGTAGAACAGGCAGAGAGCTGGAAGTAAACATTGTACAACAAGCAGAATGCAGATATCTAGATTTTACAAACATACTGTAATGTAAGATCATTATTTTGTAAAGCTTCCATATCATGTGACCCATTGATTCCCAATCCATGGCAGATATTATTACTATATTATACAAATAAGACTCACCTCTTTTGGGGGATTTTAATCCAGCTTCTATTTGATACAAGTAGTCTTTTGTGTGTGTGTGTGTGTGTGTGTTGTGTGTGTGTGTGTGTGTGTGTGTGTGTGTGTGGTGTGTGTGTGTGTGTGTGTGTGTGTGTGTGTGGTGTGTGTGTGTGTGTGTGTGTGTGTGTGTGGTGTGTGTGTGTGTGTGTGTGTGGTGTGTGTGTGTGTGTGTGTGTGTGTGTGTGTGTGTGTGTGTGTGTGTGTGTGTGTGTGTGTGTGTGTGTGTGTGTGTGTGTGTGTGTGTGTGTGCGCAACACGTTCTCACTCCCATCCCGTCACATATTGACGGACGGTCAGGGCCCCTCCCCGTCGCTATATTACGTACAGGGTACCCCTTGACCGTCAGGCTTCTACGGGCAGGGCGTCCCATAGACCTTCATAGACCACGTGATCAACAACAATGGCCGACCTTCGTGTTATTCTCGGTGGAAAATGCCTATTTTAAGGTTCATTTGGCAATTAAAATGCGTTTTGATGTCATTTAATGCGATTAATATGAGTTGTTATTTCTGATTATTTGTGCAGTAGATGTACATGATGTTTAGTTTGCTAGTTATGACGAAGATTACTCCATTCATGGTTGCTAATTTTTTTGGGTGGAAATGTGTTTTTTTTACAGCAAAGTCACCCTCTGTACTTGGACTTATTAGGAGAATCTAAAGACAAGAACATCCCAAATATTCATTTAGATCTTTATTTTAGACCTTTAGTGTTGCCGTCTGTGAGGAAAATAAATGGGGATCAGAGCCTCGTATTTTTAAAATCTTTTTTTCCTTCTAATTTGTTATTCTTTTCAAAATAACACACTGTTATTTACTCACCAATAACACACAATTATCCTTGCTTTTATTTATTGGTTTAATTCCATAATCTCGGGCTTTTTTGGCGTTCGTCAGGAACTGAATTTCAAAATAAAAATAACCGGAAACAGACGTAGGCATTTCGAGCGATTACCCAAGATCCTCAGCTACGCTGATTGGATGTTTTAGCCGCAATGCATGCTGGGATTTGGTGTTTATATTATATGAAATCCGGAAAACATTTTAAAAGAATAAAATAATACTTAATTCCGAGTGCTCTTGCTTTTCTCTTTGAAAGTCATCACATAACGGCATTGTAATACACGGTTCGGCTGCATTACATATTACAGATCTGCCGTAGTTCTTTATTTATAGAGCCCTGATGAGAAGACCTTGGGAAAAACTGAAGAAATGCCGCCGAAACTGAATACTTGACGTGGATCATAAATATATCAACAATTAAACAACATCTTCAATTTCTCTTCACACAATACGTCTCCTTGCAGTATCAACACTAATTCGGCTGACTTTTACATTTGATATAATTCATAGATAGGTTATATTTACACCATAACGGTGCACAGCTGATATAAAAGGACTTGTAGTTTTTAAAGATATTACTGATTTGAATTGGATTGAATTTTGAATGTAAGAATGTAAATACTGAGTCTGAAATAGTATAGCAATATGCTGTAAAATTATGTGAAAGCATGAATAAAACAACACATCTTCAGATGTTGTACATACAAGTGTCCTACACTAATAATACAAAGTTATTATGGCTGTGTGTACCTTGTGTGCACCGCCTAGTGGTTAAAGCACGTTATTGAATTATTGTTTTTACGTGTTATATTTGATTACAAACATATTAAGAGTACATACTTTCATAGGGGGAAAGTAGAAGGTCTGTGATATAAATATAGAATATAAAAAATCAAGAAGATACTATAAGTGATCTCTACAATAAAACAGTTTAGTGCAGGATGTACAAAGATATTGATAGGAGGAGGTGCAAAACAGAAAAACGAATTAACCTTTATTTAAACATTAAATAACAGATTAAGGTCTTCTTTTAAATAAGAAAAAAACTTTGGGGGTATCTATCTACAGATAAATATTAAGCCTGACAAAATACTTAACGTCTAATATATTGCTTTCCTGCAATGTTAACTATGTTGAAGCACTTATTTTAACTGATATTATACATATGGATTATACTCTTATGTAGATAGATAGAATGATAAATGTGCAGAATATGACAGTTTAATGGTGGAGGTATACACACATATTGATAGATGTCTAGTAATGCACTGTTGAGGAACCTGTGACCCAAGTTTTTCATTCATTGCATAACTACACCGTAGTTGTGTATATGATATGTCAATAAACCTTTGAAAATCTTGAAATCTTGAAAGGGATGTGCAAAATAGCCATTATATACAGTTTTTAATTAAATATTAGTAGAGAATAACGAGTAATTAATATACTTTATTACTCGTTTCCATTCATGTCAATTGCAGATACATGTTTAGTCTTCTCAAGCACCAACTATCAAATATCTCTCCTGATTGTTGGCACTTGACAATCACCTTACCTGCATTT